CCTCACATACTGTTGATGCCGTGTCCGGCCGGAGCGATGATTCAAAAACATTAAAACCCATTACAAACAAGGCATCTGTTGCCTCCAGTGGGGACATAATTACTGATTATAATGACTTATACTGTCTTTTTACGCGCTGCGTAAACATAAAACCATTTCTGCATTTGTGATCAGAAGTGACAAACAACAAAAGCTACTCTACACTGCCCAAAATATGTTTGAGAGTCACCAACTCGATCTAAGATATAAAGCTGGAATGGCTAGCAGTAAATCTCTAGTTGAGGGGGCAAACACCCAGCTCTCACAGGAGAGGGGAGCTCGACCTACCGCATGTTCCAATGCTGGAACAGTAAGAAAGATAATGCTCAAAACTCACAATATGCAGAGCAGGAGGATTGGGAAGGCTCAGCCTCAGCTTCTTCGCCGTCCTCAGACATCTCCTGCTCTTACTGGGCCGAACCCAGCAGAGCACCGCCCCCCGGATCAAACGATGTTAAAGAAATAACATGATCCTCCAGCAGCTTACTCTCGTCCATAGCCGACGAGCGGCAGAGGGAAAACCCCTTTTTAAACTCATCAGCCGGATCCACCTGCGCCTATTTATACTATAGTCGCACCGGTAGTGACGTCATGGGCTGTCGCCGGCCAACGTGTTGTTGGTGTTTTTTCAATGTATGCTTCAGACACGGGTCACGACAAGGCGTTCCCCCCATAGCGACCCCTAGAGGACGCAGTTCGAAGTTCCCTTGAAAGGGAATTGAAATCGCATCATTTACCCCTTTAATATGTATTTTTTTAGGGGTAAATAAGGTACAAAGGTGTACCTTTTGTACCTTATGCTACTGCCTCAGTGACAGCTTTGTACCTTTTTTTCCTGAAAGTGTAGGTTGGTAAAAGGTCAGCATAATATTTACGTTCGAATCAAACCAAACTTGCATGCCCTGCTTGCAAGGAGATAAAGATTTTATTTTGAGATTAATATACATTTACATTTACATTTTACATTTAGTCATTTAGCAGACGCTTTTATCCAAAGCGACTTACAATTGGGGGATACATAAAGCGATTCTTCTTAAAGAGGCAAACAGACACAGGAAGTGGATGTAATACCAAGTTCTTAGACATTGTTCAAATAAGTACAAGCTAGAAAGAGAAGGAATAAATAAAGAGAGAGAATTTTTTTTTATTATTTTTTTTATTTTTTTTTATGATGAAGTCAAGTAGCTTCGAAAGAGATGAGTTTTCAGCTGTCGCTTGAAAATTGTCAGGGATTCAGCATTCCGGATAGGGGTGGGAAGATCGTTCCACCAGTCAGGAGTGGTGAACGAGAATGTTCTGGAAAGTGATTTTGAATATACTGAATATACACTGAATATACAGTGACACTTGCCATAAGCTTTTTGTTGTTGAGGTCATTAAAAGCTTCACCTAAGCTCTTGGTTTTGGGGAATTCAAATGCTTTATTACAGGGAATCACATTTGGTCGAGCCCAAGAGCTTGGCATTGCTCATGCTCAGCTTCCGCTGGGCAGTTTCGTCCAGATGAATAGCCACAAGGTGCTGGCCGTCAATCACGGTGAGATTCCCTCTCTCTAGATATCCATTCAAATGACACTTCCTCTATCATATACTACTTTTAAGTTTCCTAGTGGAAATGAACCAATCATTTCCCCCCTTGCCACAGTTTTTGAAATCATCCTAGCATTCCTGGAGAAACGAGACTGGCAGGAAGCTTTCTTTACCGTTCTGCCACAGAGGAAGGGAGCTGTGCCAGTGGGCCAGGAGAACAAGCTCGGAGAGGGCAATGATGAGGAAGACTCTGATGAAGACTCGGACACAGAACAGCCACAGCTTAGAGATATGTAACATTTAAGATGTTTAATGGTTTTGGAAATTTAAAAAAAAAAATTTCTGATGTTTTTTTTTTTATTTATTTAAAAATATATCAGTGTCAGATTTGAGATGCTTAATGCAAAGGTTTGGACTTGAAGGTGTTTTTGTTAAAACAAATTTCATGACAAAAAAAAAAATAATAAATGAGAAATTGCCCCTTTTTTTAGCCTTTTCCCTTTAAAAAACAACAAACAATAATGTATAGATTTTATACAAAAAAAAAAACAATTACAAAATTTCTTATTTTATAACAATGAGCTTTTTGTTCATTGTAAACGTATAATATTTGATCTGCTCATATTTTTATCCTGTAAATTTATACTGATGACTAAAGTGTATATTTGGTACATTCTTTGTTAAATCTCAGTGCTGTACTGAACGGTATTTAAAAAAAATGTCTAAGTAATGTTTTTCTTTTTCTTTGGACTAACTAAGAAACAGACTCTGCATATTAGCTGTTTTTGCTGTTCTGCCACAGTGGGATTTGTACTTGTGGGCCAAGAGAACAAGCTCGGACACGGCAAGACTCAGATGTAAGCCATCCAATCTCAGAAAAGAAAAAGACACAAAGGACCAATCAGAGAGCAAAATGGAGGTACATAAAACTCAGATTCCAGTAAGAGAGAAAACAGGACAAATCTTGATCTTGAGTAGTTTTGTAGTTTGTTGCTGTCGTGTTTTATTTTCAGGTTAATGAAATATCACTTGAGAGTTTGAGATGCTGAGGTTTTTTTTAAGCAAATTTGATGAGGAACTTTTCAGTCTCAGACATTTAGATCTTACTTTAGATCTTAATGCATATGAATGTAGTGATGGTCTACACACATATTGTATTTTACCTATTGTTAGTAATCTAATAATCTGCATAAAAAAAAAAGAAAAATTATATATTATATCAGCTAATAGACCTAAATATAGAAGACTTTAACATAGAACATACATAACAGTATGTTCAAATACTGATTATTGTAAATCATGCTAGAGCACATGTGTGTAAACGTTTCTGTTTTTGAAGTTTAACATTGTATTTGAAAAATACTCAAATAGTCCCCTAGATGTCACCTAGACACCTACACGCGATTTCATAAAAAAGTCAGATATTAGTTTGATTAAATGAAAAGAAAAATTTAAAGCCATTGATTTAATAGAAATGTCTCTTACTATTCTTGATTCCGTTCAATTTTATCTCTAAATATTTTCATAATATATATTGATTCATTTTTCAAAGGATTTTTTTCTTCCCTTTAAATATTTTAGTGTTTCAAAGTTCTTAATTGTTATGACAGTTTCACGATATTAGCACAGCATCACAGACTGATTTTATTAGTATTAAAGACCAAACATTAATAACATTTTGGGGACATTAAAAGCATCATAGGTTTATAAACAGAAATGCTAATCACAGAGAAGCTTTCCTCATCATGAATAACTGTGTTTTTCAGCTCAAAACCCTTGTTTGGAACACTATTCCGTTGAACTCGGTAAAAGTGCCTGGGGCTTTAACTGTTTTCAGGAGGGAGAACAGGTTTACGGTTTTTGGTGCTCCTTTTCCTTTAGGCCAAGAATGCAACCAGATACAGTAAGTCTGGCAGTTTATCCAGCAGAATCTTTTTGGATATTGGGAAACCTTTAACAGAACACCACTTTTATTGGAATGATGTCTGGTTACTGGACAGTTTAAGCAAATCACAAAGTTGGCTGTAGGACTTCTTTACATTTGAAAAGATATGTAAAATCTTGTTAAGGTTAATCAGTCAAGTGATGAACTATGTTCTGAAAGATCTTGTTTGAACCTAATAGGTAGGCTATACTTATTCGTTCTAAATTTGAGAAAATAAATTAAAACAAGATTCAATTACAAAATTCTTAGCGTTCAGTGTCTCTTTGATTTTATCCAGAGGTAATGGTAATCACAAGTTACTCTCACCTTTGTGTTTTCCACAAAAACATTATGGCAGAAAAAAAACTGTTAAAGTGAACTCGACCATTACAGATCTCAAACGATTAAGCAATTACAGAATATTAAACCAGTATCTAGATTGAATCATCAGATTGGGAAGAAACACCCGGATTAAAAACTGGAAAGTTGAGTAAAGCAGAGCGCGTAACAACATGTGCGCGACTGCGCAATGGAGAGCTGCCTTCTCCAACAGGTGTCTGTGAGAAATGTTCTTCTCTCAGAGCAGTTTCAACCCGAGCGTCGGAAGAATAATGGAAATACTTCGGTTTTTCTCAACATGTCGTAGCTCTTAAAATAAGACGAAAACAACATAAACTGGAGTCAAACTTTTGTGCGCACCCGTGAGGATTTACGCATGGAGAAACGTTCACTTTTTATGTATATAGTCCAAAAACATTCTGTTTCATTTTTTGTACTTCAAATGAATTAATCGATATATTGATTCTGAACGAAGAGTGATTTCGTTACTCTGCGCTGGATCTCCACCACCTGCTCTTCACATATGGGAGTCTCCTGATCTCCAACATCTCCCGACTGACATCGGTGATCGATTGGATTGATTGGGAAGACAACTAGCCCTTGAGATGGACACAGTTTTCATATATTAATAATGACCATCGCATTGAGATCGCCAAACTGAAAACTTGGGCTCAGCTGAAAGTCTGAACTGGTGGACGATGAAGACAGTTTCATATATTCTTGCTGCGTTGATCATCTGGAACTCAGGTGAGCCATTTTATATATCATAAGTACATTGCGAGTGCAATTGGAAACATTTGAAAACGTGTTGCAGGATTTGGGGTTAAAGGTTTAGGAAAAGAGCTTCACAACACGTTTACGGTTGTCTGATATTACAGGAAGAACTGGTTCTGATGACAAACTGCGAATGTGATTCAGTGTGACAGACAGACGCTCCCTGCTCACGCGCACACACACTGTCTTATGCGTCTTAAGGAGTGTTTTATGGGTTGATGAAGCTGTGAGAATAAGGGTGTGATGGATTTGAGGGTTTGGTCAACGTTACATACATTTTTGAGTGTTTTTGCTGGCGTATGAGCTATTCATAAAGTTGTGTGTTAATGCAGGGTCAGTGGGTCTGAGTACATGATATAACGTAATTTATATACATTATGACATTTTGCTGTAGCCTATTAACATCCTCTGCTGGTCCTAGAACATCATTCCTACTCCGATATTAGAGTTTAGGGTCAGGTTTAAGGTTATGGCCTTGAACAACAATCCAGTCAAGTTATTTTGAGATTTGAGACTGATATTGTTTTTAATGACCATTATTGTAGGTTTTAATCATTGTATGGTGCTTAAAGTTCAGTTTCTCCAGACAAGCAGTCTTATTACTGTTAACAGATTATGACCAATTTCCAACCCTGGAAATATATTGAACTGCAAAAAATGAACATAATGTATTTCTAGTTCATAGATAAGATTTGAGACTGATATAGTTTTTTTCTGATCATTTTGGTTATTATTTTCTGGGGACAATCTGTTTTTAATTGTTTTATTTCTACTTTTTGACACCAGAATGACTAAATTGTCATTATAGCCTATATACAACAATACAAACAAACTGTATTGTTGTTGTTTTTAAGCTGTAAAGATAAAAATAAAACTAATTATCCCCCCCCCCCCAAAAAAAAATAGGCCTAAATTATTACCAGCAAATACTGTTGTTATTTCTGATTAAAAATTACATTTGTGAGTAAAAAATTTTTCAAAAGTGTATAAAATGAAAGCAGTGATTACATATTAATTAGAAAAGTGTCCATATTAGTAAAAATATTAGTCAAACCAATTAAGTCCATTTTTGCCCCCTGATTTTAGTGGTAGGGTTAGGCAAAAAATGGCAGTCCTTAAGGATGTTGACTCAGGAACTTGTCACACTGGGATAAATCATGTTGTGTGGCACAGTGACAGAGGATCTATGCCAGAAATCTTGTCAACAAGATTATGTCCAAGAGGCTTGTCATTACGGTTCATTGATGTCATTCGTAGTCTTTGCAAACTGGACAATTGCCTGCCGCGGCCTAATAGTCAAGGATCTGGGTTACTGACATAAAGTTCAAAGCACTTGAAATGTGTTTAACACTCGGTTTCTCCAGGCAGAGAGTCCCATTAAGTGTACAGTTAATTTATGACTGATTTCTGCAGCTTACTTCTTACTGCAAATAACAATAAACAAAACATATCTTATTCATATGTGAGCCTAATCAACTTAAAGTATGCAATAGTTGTCTGTACTTTTGCGTTGGCGTATTTTTTATAATGTATTATAATTGTGCTTGAAATTGCAAATTACATATTGCATTTTACTTATATAATTTATATTTTTATTTTATATTATTATTATTATTTTAATAAAATATATATTATTCATTTTTTGTATTTAAAAGTAAATGTAATAGTTCAGCTTATATTCACTCAACTTTGCATGCATGCACTTTGTATTTGAATGTTTGCTTAATGCTCGTCTGTCTCCCAAAAGTAATTAGCCCTGAGACACATAACGAGTTGAGCAGCATATCTAACTCTCGTCCACAAACGCTCTTCCAGACACCTGTTTGTCTCTCACCCCTCTTCCTTTCTATTATTTTGTTATCCATATCTATTCCCATGTCTGCTTTGCCTCTCTGTTCTCTGTGCCAGTTCAATAGTGATGAAAAATGAAAGGTTCATGTTACCACCGTACTGAATGTAACAGATGACCTCAGCCAGCGTGGTCCAAATTTTCTTTTACTGCAGGTATATTTCTCTTAAAGGTGCTATTTCTATTTTTTTTAAAGCACTGCTTGAACCGCCTTGGCCTGTATGATATATATTCATGGGATGGCCTAGAATTTATTTATTTTTTTTTTGGTCTGGCCCGTTAACTTATGGCCACATCAGTTTGTGATGCCATAGCTATGAGCGCTACAAGGAACTTACTGTGCTGAATTTTTCCCAACACTAAATGCAAAATACATTGTAAAAAAAATAATAATATGCAATAGTGTAATAGTGCAAGTAGTTTTAATAGTGCTACATAGTTTTACAATTGCACGACTAATTCGGTGATGTTGTTTTAGATGTTAAAAGTTAAAGTTGCTGAGTGCTGACCCTCAGGCCGCCCAAGATGTTGATGAGTTTGTTTCTTCATTGGAACAGAGAAATTTAGCTTTACATCACTTGCTCCCCAATGGATTCTCTGCAGTGAATGGGTGCCGTCAGAATGAGAGTCCAAACAGCTGATATATAATCCACACGACGATGTCTTGTGAAGTGAAAAGCAGCATGTTTCTGAAAAACAAATCCATCATTAAACAGTCACTTCTGATCAAAATTAAGTCCATAATAACACTTCCTTCAGGGAAAATGTCAATCCCCTTATCAAAATCCACCAACATTTTTGTTTTAGAACACCAACATTAGTTTAGAACTGTTTCGGAATCTTTTTGCTTGTAAACAGATCTTGATCTGTGCATATTTCACTTCTGATTCAGATGAGATGACTTAATTGAGGAAAGTAATATTATGGATAGAGGAATCATATTTTAGCTGAAAGCAATGGTTTGATGTTCAAACATTGTAATGATGAATTTTGATGAAACACGCAGCTTTTCAACTTCACAAGACATTAATTGATGGACTGTAGTCGTGTGGATTACTTGTGGATTATATATCAGCTGTTTGGACTCTCATTCTGACGGCACCCATTCACTGCAGAGAATCCATTGGTGAGCAAGTGATGTAAAGCTGAATTTCTCCAAACCTGTTCCGATGATGAAACAAACTCATCTACATCTTGGATTGCCCATGGTTGACTAAATTGTCAGCAAATGTTTCTTTTTGGGTGAACTATTCCTTTAATAACACTTAATAAAGGAAACTGAGCTAATACTTAAGAAATAATTACATATATAGTATGATGATACATAATATAAAATATTACATAGTATAACTACTCCTACTCATCCACCAATTATTTTTATAGTTTATAGTTGCAACATTAATACATGTGATTTCTGATTTTATAAACAACTTCCAACAGAGTTCATCCAATAGAATTTATTTATGTTATCATATTGCTGTTTAAAAAAGCATCTCAAGTGGCTTATTACTTTATTTGATTAAAACCATTATCTCTCTTTTTGTGTCTTTCAGCAGCCTGTGTAAGTGGAGAACAAGAACATTTTCTAGAGCCCTCTGAGTCCCCCTGGACTCTGCAGTCTTTGGCAGAGGAGGAAACGCGTTTACCCTGTCGATTCAATGTATCGAACAGTGAGATTAAGGTGGTGCAGGTGATGTGGATTCGAGAAAACTCAAATGGAGGTGAAGAACAGATTATCACTGCTCATTTCAGTGAAGGCCAGACAGGTAAAACTAACTTTTTTCTTTGTCTGTTACTTCACAGATATCAAAACTTAAACTGTTACACATTTTTTAGAATGTAATTATTATATTCTTTCATTTTACTAATATTGTTATCACCAAAGAAAAATGATTTTTTTCCATTTCTTTGTAATTATTTTGAAGTTGAATCACAATTGCTGAGTGCGAATAGTTTCAAACTAAATCATATACCATTTTTTTTCACTGTGGACTTCTCTAGCTATAACAATATCCTCTATAGGCAGCTCTGAGTCATTTCAAAAATGTTACCAGCTCTGCGGGGTTTAATCTGATTTTTGGCTGTTCCTTGAATCTGGTTCTGTAACTATACTTGTATTGTACTTGTGCTTTCGGTTCTGTACTCATTTTGCATTCATTTTACACTGAATCATTAAGCAGATGTTTATTTTTCAGTTCACTTTTGTAAAAAGAACTTTTCATAAAGGAGCCATTACTGCAGAATCTTTAATATTTCCTCTTCATTTTCATTTCTTTTGAGATGATACGTTTTGTTGTTTGCATCATTCCTTTTTTGTATGCTTCACAAAAATGGTCAGAAACCAAATCTTACTGTCACATGTCACATTTCATTCTGTTTCTCTCTCTCGCAGAAAGCCCTGCATACACAGGGCGTGCTCGATTCGCAACCAGCGACCCAATAGCAGACTCTGCTCTGATTCTCATGGGCACACGTTCTGCAGATGAGGGCAAATACATCTGCAAAATCGCCACCTTCCCCGCTGGAAACTTTGAGACAGAGATTTTGGTCACAGTGTGGAGTGAGTACATTAATCGTGGCTACATGGGCAAACAGAAGACGGCAAACTTTTGTCATACAAAACTCTGTGACTGTTCATATTTTATATTTTAGCACATTGGAAGATCAGCATAAACCACTTTTGATTTTCAGGATACACTCTGGTCGAGATTGTATCTGATTTTGGTCAAGAACTGCCAACTTAAACAGGAAAAGGTTGTCTGGCTAAAACCTGCCCACAGACTGCTGTGAAACCACCAGTCTCTTAACTCTAAAGAAACTTTGCGTTCGCTCACAAAACTTTTGTCAGAAAGTATTATTTCAGTGCTTTTGCAAGCGAATGAGAAGTTTCTTGTGGAAATGCTGCGATGCAAAAAAAAAAAAAGTTTCTTAAAAATTACTTTCTCCCATTTTTTGCGAATTTTGCGAGTGAATGAAAAATATTTTATGAGACAATGCAAAAGCAATAAAATGCAAAATGTAATTTTTCCTTCAATATCATATTTTTTTCCATCACCATGTAGACAATGCAAAAGCAATAAAATGCAAAATGTAATTTTTCCTTCAATATCGTATTTTTTCCATCACCATGCCCCTTAGGGGCTTCGTAGTGATTGGAGTTAAAATCAGCAGAGTTTTTTTGAGTCTTATGTATATGACTCTGCAGCAGTTAGCGATAAAACCCTCAGTGATACAGGACAAGCATAACGTAAGCCTTTGATTTTTTTTAACATTACCATTGTCGTTGCATTCAGCGTCCCATTCATGTACAGAGAAAACCCGTTAACCACAAAGCTACCACTGCTATGATGCATACAGTTATTGTTCTCAGAATAACACACAAGCATTGTCTGCGTCAATGGGAGTGATGATGGACGTATTTACCTGACAGTGTTCATTGTTGCTGCAATTACAAGATCATATAATAGCTGCTGCTTTCTCCTTCAGAAGTATTGTTTATGGTTGTTTTCAAGCAGACTGTTAGAAACAGGAAAGCAAACTGGGAAGTCTCACTTTAGAACATTTCATAAATTAGACACTGGTAAAATATCTAAAAGTTTGTTTTAAAATACTGTCAGTACTTCATTGTAAAATTTAAATCCTATTTATCATGTTTATTATGTATTTGTCATTTCATTTCACAGTTAAACCCATTACGTCCCTGCAGCCGTTCGTCCTGGTTGAGGGCCAGTCATTCCGTTCGGCCGCTATATGCCGTTCGGTGGCTAAGCCGATGGCAGGCCTCTCCTGGGACACGGAGCTTGCGGGTCAGAGTCAGAACCGTAGCTCAGATGGTGATGTGGCCTCCATCCAGTTTTCTCTCCACCCTCTCCGTAACATGAACGGGCAGAAGCTGGACTGTCTGGTCTGGCATCCATCGCAAAAAGGCCCAGTGAGGTTCTCCAATAACCTTGTAGTACACTGTGAGTCCTGATCTCTTAACACTTATTATAAATATATATCAGAAGTGTCTGGGTCATAATATGTGACATTCCTTTCCCCTTGAATTCTTATTACTATAAAGAAAAAATGTAACACTAATAAAAATCATCCCGTTCAAATTGTCATTCATTGAATTCAGTACAATGAATACTTTCATTTATACTTATAAATGTACTTTAAAAATGCAATGTCTTTAATAATATATAATAAAAAAAATCAATTATAGTGCTTTATAATGACACTATAAGTAGTAGTAGTATTTAGTAGTTTTTCACTACTAAAAACTGGGGCGAGGAGGAATTATATCCTTAATTATGTGCTTAATTATCATTTATCACTTATTCAAAATATATTTTCTTATTTCGTACATTATAAAAAAAAAATGCTGGGTTAAAAACAACCATTTCTGGCTTATTTGGCCACCCAATTATTGGACAGAACACGTGCTGGGTTATTATATCGGGTTGGGTTAAATTATGTTTGACCCAAATGCTGGGTTGTTTCATTTAACTCAACTATTGTTACAAATTACTGGGTTGGAAATTAGAAATCACACCCAGAATTACTAGAGACAACAGTAATAATTAAAAGGTGAACATTTATTAATAAGCAAGAACACCCATGGACAAAATTATAAGACAAATTGACAAAAATGCAACATTTAAAAGTAACCTCAGGCCACTGCCTCATGTTTAACTTGTAGCTGAAAGATGTGACTGATTCCATAACCTGCCCATAAACAAACAGTACTGAGACTGGAGAACATATCTTAACATCAAAATGAATTAAATTCAGTATTATAATGAATAAAATCTGTTTGTTATATCTCATCAAATCATTTACAGCGCAGTAAAGACTTCATAGATGAAATAAAACATATACACACCTTTATTTGACTGAAGAAGTGCACCAATTAGGCGGCACTGAAAACCGCTTTTTCCTAAAGACGATGCAAACAACATTGTTTCATTGGAAGGAGGGGGAGGGGTGTATATTTTCAGCTGTCAGTGAGATTGTCCCAGCCACAAACTCAACGTCTGGGTAACACAAAAACTACCCTACACTGGGAAAAAAACTACCCAACAGGCTCAACCTTGTGGTTGGGTAGAAAAAATAACCAAGCATTTTTTAGAATGTAGTGTTACAGACATTTCTTAAATTGTTTATCAAGTTTCCGCGAGTACTTTTTATTGGGCAAAGAATCATTAGTGCTATAGTTAATCTATAATTAATTTGGGCACTTCTTAAGAATTATTTTGATGTCTCTTGATGTCAAACCACTTGCCAGGTTATAAACACAAGCTGTCAATGTGCTTTCTCTTCAGAAGAATTTTTAATGTTGTCCTTACTGCAGTATGATTGATGTACTATTGCGCCACAAGTTTTATATGTCACTGCCTGGATTTGACTCAGAATGATTGTGAATTTCAAATCTAGAAATCATGAAAACAATTGTGAATTTTATAATGTAAATGTAAAACACCTTTCCTGTTTACTCTGCTTGCGAAATTTGAATATGATTAAACTGTTGTTTCTCCTACATACTGTATGTAACTTCCCTCAGATGTGTTATGACATGTGGACATCTGTTTATTGTCTTAATCGATACTATGACTACATTGTTTCTCTCTGATTCATCACTACTGCTGCGGTCATAATGTCTTTGCTTTGGTTGATTGTAGGAAAATTTAAAGCAATAGTTCTCTCAGAATGAAAATTCAGGCATTATTTAGTCACCTTTGTGTGTTTAGAAACCCATTTGACGTGTCTACTTCTGTGGAACTCAAATGGAAAAAATCTCAAGAATATCCTGGTTGTTCTTCTTGTTTTCCCCCAATTCGGTTACAATGAATAAGAACTGGAGCTTTCGAAAATCAAACGGGATGCAAAAACACCATAAACCAAATAGTTGAAAGTCTGAAACCATATAGTTTTGTGTAAAGAATAGCCTTAAATCTTTCATCTATAATAAACAAAGAGTTAACAATGTCTGAAAATGTGCTTTTGAGTCTGAACTTTTCAATGAATCCATTCATTCGGTTCACAGAATAAATCTGAATGATTCATTCACAAATCAGACAGATCTGGTCTCAATGATCTGCAACAGTTACATTTATATATGCACCATTTTATAATATTTTATGGTGGTTTTGCATAATTTTTAAAGCTTGAAAGCCCCAGTCCTCATTCTATATGACTGCATTGAAAAACAACAACCAGTACATAATTTCAATGCATCTGCTTTTGTGTTCTACAAGGGAAAGAAAGTCATATGGGTTTAATTCAGTTGCACAACATTTTATTAATTCAAACATATGCATGTCTCATAATGCCAATATTAGAGTTTGTACTGTGTCAACAAAAGGATCAGGTGAACATATTGGTCAAACAGGAAGTTCATCACAAGTTCAAACAAGAGGCTGAAAAGTGAATTAGACATGCCTAATTGTAAAATCTTTTCATTTGTGTGTTCTTGTGTACATACAGACCCTCCGAATGCATTGATATCTGGCTATGATGACAACTGGTATGCTGAAATGCAAGAAGCTACGCTGCAGTGCAGTGGTCAAGGAAATCCAGAACCTCAGAGATTCAACTGGACGAGGTAAAACTCTGTCTACCTGCATCTCTCGATTTGTTTGTTTGTTCATCTTCCTGTAAGCCTGTCTTGTCAGTTTCATTCCGTTTCGGTTGGCTTCTCTATCAGCATGCCAGAGTAATCTCTAGGTGTGGACAAGAAGGTTGTGGCCTAAATTCATGAGTGAATTTTTAATCTACTCTATCAGATAGAAGTAATACTGACACTGAGAGGTCATTGAAATACACGACAGTTGTTTTTGCATTTGTGAACAATAATTAGTCACAGTCACACACCTATTTTTCGGCATTTTTCAGTACGAGTGACTAAGGGGGTGTGTAGACATGGACATTTAGATGATCACGCAATTCCTGAGACAAACATTCTCTGGTTTTCTCCTCCTCTCTGCCTCGAGTGGGGAAACCTGTTCTCTGGCTGCTCGGTGTGAATGCAAAGTAAATGAAGTAACTGTGGCCTGGTGTCGTGTTGCAACTTGCGCAGCAAACAGACAGAGTGCCTTTTCACACGGAGGGAGAGAGTGGGGGATGAGAAATGGCTGGTGAGGGGAGATGAGTAGGTTTATGATGATGGTGTCAGGAGAATTCGCCTGCGCGCTTATGTGTGTCATCGGATGAGTCTTACCACTGTCCTCATGCAAATTGCGCCATGCTGTATGAAAAACATGTAACTTATAGTTCCTGGTATAAGCTGTGGACAAAGTTCTTATTGTCTACGGAAACACTGAGTGGGCCTATTTGTGGTTTTAGCTAAATAAATAGGCTTATCAGCTTTTAAAAAGGGGGAGAAATGCACTTGGCAGCCCCGTTCACACCAAGAACGATAACTATAATGATAACGATATTAGCGTCCACACCAGCGAACGATATCGTCTGTTTATTCTAAGCGCACATGCGTCTGCCTCTTTAAATTCTCGAGCACATTACAGCAGGATGGATTCTGATTGGCTGTCAATTTTTTTATCATTCATCAGCTGGAGAAAAATCGTTTTGAAAGTGATATTCCAACGATATCGTTTCTCTTTGTCTTTATCATTATAATTGTGGTGTGGACTCTACTATTCTTTAATATTGAGAACGATTTTTAGAACTATATCTTTATCGTTATAGCACGATGCAAGTTAAACAAAACAAAGCACCTACCTAGACTACATTAAATTCTGAGTTTTTGTTGTGCTGTCACTTGATGTTAAAAAAACTGGATCTTGATGTAAAACCAATTGAGAACTACTTCTTTAAAGCACTGTACGAATTTTTTTTATTTTTTAAACGATACTATTCTGACTGTATTATGGACAAAAAAATGTTTTGTGATAAAATCACTGATGAACTGAAAGTAATACAGACCAGGGATATTTTAAGTTGGTATTCATGAAATAATTAGTCAAAAATACATTTTTATGTACAGATCCCTTCAGTATAGATTCAGTTGTTTTCACAGTACGCTTAGAAAGTTTGGGGTCAGTTGAAAAATGAATATTTTTATTCAGCAAGGACACATTTTATTGACCAAAAGTGACAGTAAAGACATTTGTAATGTTCTGAAATATTTCTGTTTCGAATAAATGCTGTTCTTTTGACATTTCAATTCAAAGTACCCTGAAAAAATGCGTCATGGCTTCCACAAAAATATTAAGCAGCACAACTGTTTTCAACATTGATAATAAGAAATGTTTTTTTTTTGAGCAGCGAACCAGCATATTGGAATGATAGAAGGATCATATGTGGACCACAAAACCAGTCATAAGGGTCGATTTTTTGAAATTGAGATTTATACATTATCTGAAAGCTGAATAAATAAGCTTTTTCATTGATGTATGGTTTGTTAGGATAGGACAATATTTGGTCGAGATACAACTATTTGAAAATCTGGAATCTGAGAGTGCAAAAATCCAAATATTGAGAAAATCGCCTTTAAAGTTGTCCATATTAAGCTCTTAGCAATGCATATTACTAATCAAAAATTAAGTTTTAATATATTTACAGTAGGAAATTTACGAAATATCTTCATGGAACATGATGTTTACTTAATATCCTAATTATTTTTGGCATAAAAGAAAAATCGATAATTTTGACCCATACAATGTATTTTTGCTATTGCTACAAATATACCCCAGCGATTTAAGACTGGTTTTGTGGTCCAGGGTCACATATTAGAATGATTTCTGAAGGACCATGTTCTGGTATCAAGGACAAGTCAATATTCTGTAAATAATTAAGCATAAATCATTGGTTATGTGAAGAATCCTAGACTGTAGATTCTGTTGTTTACAATGTTCTGTTTTTGATTGAGGGATTAAATCATATTTTGTTTTTCACACAGGAAAGATGAAGCTCTACCAGAGGGTGTGACTGTGGAAGGAGGCACGCTGCGCTTTTCCAGGCCCCTGAGCTTGACAGATCAAGGAGTTTATGTCTGCACCACCACCAATGAGGTGGGATCTGGAAAAGCTGAGATTCGAATAAATATATCAGGTGTGTATCCCACTGGAAACCCTTCACTCATGTTAAAGTGCAGTGCACAGTGCTGTCATCTAGTGAAAATAATATGCAACTGCATATCTCATAATCCAGCAAATTGAAAGAATAATTCATCCAAAAATGAAGATTCTGTCACCATTTACTCACCCTCATGTCATTCCAAACCTGCATGATATTTTTTTCTATCTGTGGAATGTAAAAGGAGATGTTAGACAGAATGTGCAACCTTTTCCATAAAGTCATTCTCTAAAAGAACAAAAGCACCATAAAGAAGTCTGACTCATTCACAAAAAAGATGACAGGACTCTTGTAATTGAATACAATTGTAATTGAATGCTTTGTTGCATGTTTCTTTCAGAGTCGTCTCCGAGAAACGCATTAGTGAACTACTTGATGATGATTATTATTGCTGGTGTTGCTGCAGTGATTGTTCTCACTCTTATCATAGTGATAATTTCAGTAAACCGCTACTATAAGCGCAAAAATCAACAACTGGCTATAGAGCTGGTTGCAAAAAAGTAAGAAAATTTGTCTTTCTTTCTGAACATAGAATAATTTACATGACTGGTCTGATTTTGAGAATTTGTGTACTGCACACCTGTACTTCAGTCTGTGTCTGTCTCACCCTCTTTGTAAGGGAGGAAATCAGCACTCTATCGAGTGAGAAAATCGCCTTTAAAGTTGTCCATATTAAGCTCTTAGCAATGCATATTACTAATCAAAAATTAAGTTTTAATATATTTACAGTAGGAAATTTACGAAATATCTTCATGGAACATGATGTTTACTTAATATCCTAATTATTTTTGGCATAAAAGAAAAATCGATAATTTTGACCCATACAATGTATTTTTGCTATTGCTACAAATATACCCCAGCGATTTAAGACTGGTTTTGTGGTCCAGGGTCACATATTAGAATGATTTCTGAAGGACCATGTTCTGGTATCAAGGACAAGTCAATATTCTGTAAATAATTAAGCATAAATCATTGGTTATGTGAAGAATCCTAGACTGTAGATTCTGTTGTTTACAATGTTCTGTTTTTGATTGAGGGATTAAATCATATTTTGTTTTTCACACAGGAAAGATGAAGCTCTACCAGAGGGTGTGACTGTGGAAGGAGGCACGCTGCGCTTTTCCAGGCCCCTGAGCTTGACAGATCAAGGAGTTTATGTCTGCACCACCACCAATGAGGTGGGATCTGGAAAAGCTGAGATTCGAATAAATATATCAGGTGTGTATCCCACTGGAAACCCTTCACTCATGTTAAAGTGCAGTGCACAGTGCTGTCATCTAGTGAAAATAATATGCAACTGCATATCTCATAATCCAGCAAATTGAAAGAATAATTCATCCAAAAATGAAGATTCTGTCACCATTTACTCACCCTCATGTCATTCCAAACCTGCATGATATTTTTTTCTATCTGTGGAATGTAAAAGGAGATGTTAGACAGAATGTGCAACCTTTTCCATAAAGTCATTCTCTAAAAGAACAAAAGCACCATAAAGAAGTCTGACTCATTCACAAAAAAGATGACAGGACTCTTGTAATTGAATACAATTGTAATTGAATGCTTTGTTGCATGTTTCTTTCAGAGTCGTCTCCGAGAAACGCATTAGTGAACTACTTGATGATGATTATTATTGCTGGTGTTGCTGCAGTGATTGTTCTCACTCTTATCATAGTGATAATTTCAGTAAACCGCTACTATAAGCGCAAAAATCAACAACTGGCTATAGAGCTGGTTGCAAAAAAGTAAGAAAATTTGTCTTTCTTTCTGAACATAGAATAATTTACATGACTGGTCTGATTTTGAGAATTTGTGTACTGCACACCTGTACTTCAGTCTGTGTCTGTCTCACCCTCTTTGTAAGGGAGGAAATCAGCACTCTATCGAGACAAGCCTCAATTAGGAGAGTCAACTCAGGAAGCACAGACAACAGATACTCGGTAAAAATACATATATACACATATATATGTGAAATATTTTGGAAGTTTAATATAAGTGTTTTTTATTTTAATATGTTTTAAAATGTAATTTATTCCTTGATGGCAAAGCGGAATTTTCAGCATCATTACTCCAGTCTTCAGTGTCACATGATCCTTTAGAAATCATTCCGATATGCTGGTTTGCTGCTCAAGAAACATTTCTCATTCTAATCAATGTTGAAAATAGATTTGCTGCTTAATATTTTTGTGGAAACTGTGATACTTTTTTCAGGATTCTTTGATGAATATAACATTCAAAAGAACAGAATTTATTTGATATAGAATTTTCTTGTAACATTATAAATGTCTTTACGGTCTGACTAAAAGTATTACTTCAAAACATAAAAATCTTACTGACGCCAAATGGTATGGTAGTGAATGATATGTATGAGTATATTCTGAATATATACTGTTTTATCATTTCAAACGTTATAATCTTCCTTTTATTAAATGTTTTATTTGACAATTTTAGTGTTTTATTTTTTTATTTACTTTTTTTGATTTACTGCTTGTACCTTGTATCTTGGTAATTGACATTCATAATTTTTTTTTTTTTTGCATATGGATTAAAGAGATAGTTCACCCAAAAAATAAAATTTGATGTTTATCTGCTTACCCCCAGGGCATCCAAGATGTAGGTGACTTTGTTTCTTCAGTAGAACACAAACAGAGATTTTTAACTCAAACCGTTGCAGTCTGTCAGTCATATAATGGAAGTGGATGGGAATCACGGCTTTGAGAGTCAAAAAAACATACACAAGCAAAACCAAATTAAACCCTGCGGCTCGTGACGATACATTGATGTGTAAAGACACGAAACGATCGGTCTGTGCAAGAAACTGAACAGTATTTCTATCATTTTTTACCTCTGATTTACTGCAATGTCCGAACTGTCCTGAGCGCGTCTTCTTCTTCTTCTTGCTTTACAGCGGATCGCAGACTTATAAGTGCATTACCGCCACC